GGAGAGGAAACGGGGAGAGAGGACGACGGACCGGAGATGATGGTGGAGAGGTGGAGGAGGAGGATGGAGAAGACGGGGTCGGTGGCGAATGAGAAGGAATGAGAGGTGTCGGAGGAAGAGGTGACACAGGAGGCACGTAGCGGGGTGTATCGGGAAGGACAAGGAAAGAAAGGTCATCGACAGAGAAACTCGAGGAAGAAGAACGTGAGTAGTAAGAACGAGACTCATCAAAAGTCACATCACGCGAGATGCGCAAGCGACGACCTACAGGATCCCAACATCGATAGCCCTTGTGCTCATCGCTGTAGCCAAGGAAGACACACTCAACCGACTGGCCAGTCAGTTTGGTGCGTTCTCGGGGGGCAAGAAGAACATAGCACACACATCCAAACATACGAAGAGCTGAGTAGTCGGGAGAGCGACCAGTGAGACACTCCATAGGAATACCACCTTGAAGAGCAGTCGATGGCTGAATGTTGATGAGATAGGTGGATGCGGAAACAGCCTCAGCCCAAAAATGGGGTGGAAGAGAAGCAACAATCATTAGCGCACGAGCTGTCTCAAGCAAATGACGATGCTTGCGTTCGGCAATGCCATTCTGAGCATGAGCCCCAGGACATGAGAACTGGGCAAGAGTACCCTGTTCCGCTAGAAAACCACGCAACAGCTGAGAGATATACTCCCCAGCAGAGTCAGCACGAAAAGTACAAATGGACGTGGCAAACTGAGTGTGAACCATGGCAGCAAAACGTTTGTATATAGAGAGAACCTCGCTACGAGATTTCATGAAGTAGAGCCAAGTGTAGCGAGAGAAATCATCAATAAACAAAACATAGTAGCGATGACCACCTTTCGAATCAAAGGGAGCAGGACCCCAGACATCAGAATGAACTAAGTCAAACGGATGCTGAGATACTGACTCACTAGTAGGATAAGGTAACTGAGTCTGTTTGCCAAGTCTGCAACCATTACAATGTAAGGAGATATCTCCAGATACAGACCCTAAGAGGCCCTGACGAACTAAAGAAGACAAGCGAGCGCCACAGATGTGACCAAGGCGATGATGCCACTGCTGGAAGGACGCAGACGAAGAGGGAGCAAGAGCATGGGAGCTGGCAGAAGTGGTGGCAGCGGAAGGAACACAAAGCCAGTCAACCTCCCAAAGGCCCTCTGACTCACGGCGCCGAGGGCTAGCTCCAACCAAAACCTTGGTGTGACGATCCTGAATGGAGCAAGAGTCGGTATCAAGAATGACACGACAACCAGAATCAGTAAGTTGGGCAGCAGAAAAAAGATTCATGGTAAGACGAGGAACATGTGAAACACTCGGAACAGAGAAGGACGGAGTGGAAAGAATACCACGACTAGCAACAGGAAGAGATGTGCCATCGGCAGTAAGAACATTAATAGGCGAATCAAGAGGTCGAAGAGAAGACAATACAGAAGAATCAGAAGACATATGGAAGGAGGCTCCAGAATCCAAAACCCACGAAGATGTACCTGACTGTGTAGATGCCTGCGGTGGTGGAGAAGTGGCTGCAGTCACAGCAGCAGCTGAACCAGTCGACGAAGAGCCTGAGGAGGCCAAGAGACGTTTGAGCCTCACAATGTCCTGGTCAGTGAGTGACGGAGTCAAGGAAGATCCAGGAGTCCCACTGGAAGAGGAGCGCCGCTGGTCTCGCTTCTTCTCACGGCAATCAGACTCTGGGTGACCTGGCCGAGAGCAGTAGCCACAGAAGGTGTCACGGCGCGACCGGCCCCTCTCAGTGTAAGCAGGTCGACTCACCCCCCCTGAAGGTGCGGGGAGGAGCAGTGGAGCGGTGAGCCGAGCAGACGACACAGGAGCACGAGCAGCCAACACAGGCGGGACCACCAGCAATCCAGCAAAGCGAAGGCGGGTCTCTTCAGCACGAAGCTCAGCAAGCACCTCGAGATAGGAACACGGCCACGAGCAAGCAAGTGAGCACGTCGTGGTTCAAACTCAGAGCGGAGACGTGACAAGAACTCATGGACCCGCTGAAACTCCAGATCAGACCGAGTAGTCTGACAGCAACGACAGGTGCCACAAACAACTATCCGAAGAGAGTCAAGCTGACGCCAGATGGCAGAGCACTGTGAATAGAACTCATCAACAGAGGAATCACCTTGCTGGAGTGCATGCTCCTGACGCACGACAGATAGGTAGAGAGCATCACCAGAGGGCTGATAGCGCTGATAGAGGTAAGACCACATCGCTGCAACAGTGCCAAGTCCCATGAACTCCGAAGCAAACTGAGGAAGAACACTCGCAGTGAGAACAGCAGCAGCTCGAGCATCATCATTGCACCGAGTGTAAGCAGACAGATCATCCCGGTACACAGAGAGAGCATCGGAATAAGCGGATACCTGCTGATCATAAGCATCAACCGCAGCATCATCCAGAGCCTTGGCAGCATCTCGGTCAGCCTGAGAGGCATCAGCAGCAAGGACCGGCGGCACGGGTGGGATTGGGGCCACGGGTGCCACCAGACATGGCGGACAGGGGACCTCGCCAGAGAGAACCCCCCACAGAAGGAGTCCATGCATATGGATGCGCATGAAGCCCACAAACTCAGCATAATTGGTGCCATCAAAGATCACCGAGCACCGAGGAACCGCGACATAGCCCGAAGAGGACATGAGAAAGTCACTCTGCTGCTGTTGTCCGCGTTTTTTTTGGTCAACGGGCCCTCAACCAGATCTGGATCGAGGGAAAAGCCCGAGCGCTTCACCCCTCCTCGTGCGCACGGCAACGACGAGGACCAGAGGGGGCAGGGGGCGGGCAGGACCAGGCGGCGGCGGCCGGACCTGGGGGCGGCGACGGGGGCCGGACCTGGGCGGCAAACGGCGGCCGGACCTGGGCGGCAAGCGGCGGCCGGACCAGGGCAACAGAGGCGGCCGGTCGAGGCAGCCTCAGTTCGGCAGCGGCAGCAGCCGAACGGGGCGACGAGCGACGGCCGAAGGACGGAGAGGAGACGAGCGGGGGAGGGAGCAGCCGCAGGTCGGCAGCGGCAGCAGTCAAGCGAGCTCCCGAGGCGGAATCGAGCAGGGGCTGACTCACTCGGGGATGGAGAAGCGATGCAACGGGACAGCTGGGGCGGCGGATCTGGACGGGATGAAAGCGACGGCGGCAGCCAGAATCGAGCAGAGGAGCACGGAGTTGCAGCGTGCGGGGGAGCGAGGGGAACCTAAGCATCTGATACCATGTTAGGAATGAGCAACTATCTTCTCAGGAGGGCCAAAGGCCAATACATATACATGTGTGTGGTAAAGTGCAAGAGACCCCTTATACAATGGGGATAAACCGAAAAGGACTATACACATCTAACAGTTTTTACAAGGATTCCACATTTTTGCTTTTGTCTGTTATTTGTTCAAAAAGAAGGGGAGAATTGCGAGGGCTGAAAGTTCTGCTACAAAATGAAATAGATTCGACTTCTTCGAAAGTCGTGTGGGCTCTATAGCAAGTGTTCATAATTGCCAAAAGAAATCTTTTACGGTGATTGAGGAGTCACAATACTTACTTTCATGTAAGTAAAACTTGTAGTTTGTTAAACCCATAACATCAATTCCTCAAGTTTTAATTCTCCACCTATTAGTCTAAGCGACCTAATCAGATCAAACTCCTTGGAGTCACACAAAGCCACAGTAAGTCATAAACATTGAAAAAAGGTAGTACGATGGCGGTCGAGGTAAATAACAGCACATCACTGACTCATAGAAAAGCGACGTTCAGGCAGGGTTGCCAGCTTGGTGCAATGCGTTCGGCCACTACCCACGTTAATATTTTACAGTGAGAAGCGAGCTCTTTAAGATCACAAATTCCCGGCAGTAAGAGGTGGACATGTGAGAAAAATGATTTGGGTTCCGTCGATTCCATTTTCTATCCGTGCTTCTTCCATTTAGGATACATATGGCTTGGTCTGACCAGTAGTACTCTTAACTTCTTATTTCTAGTCACTTCAAATTTTCTACAGGAATTACAATGCACTTTAATCTGTTCCAGTTTTGATTTTACAGATGGAGAACGAAAAAGGGAGACTTAATTTGGCCTCATGTTGTATAGTGTAGCGTGAAAAACTGTGGTCCAATGTGATCTTCCATGTTAAGCGCTAGATCAAGACATTATGAGGATAATTCAAAATACGCGCACTAGAGGTAGCATTTAAGCAAACTAGATTACTCCAACAAATTGTAATCGTAGAGAAACTTTCCTTTTGGGGGGATAACTTGCAAATATTTGAATTGACAATGCCTTTGTTCTTTGATTGTAACAGCTCCATAGACAGGTTCTACATTGACTAAGCATCTTCAATAAATAATTGTTAGATGAAAGAAATTTTGACCCAGATTGTTCAGGGCTGGCACTATCAAGTTGTCACCAATCTATTTCTTGTACCCTTAGTGTTTTTTATATTAATCTGACTGTTTTACTTGTTCAACAGCCTCGCTGTTCCGCACAAACACTCCTCTTTTAATCTGGTACCACTTATAAGTTGTAACAGCCGCAAAGACTAGTTCTACATTCATGAGGCATCTTCAATAAAGAATTGTTAGATGAAAGAAATTTCTATCCAAGTTCTTCAGGGATCAGTTTCCTGTACCCTCTTACTGTTTTTCTTATGTTAATGTCACTGTTCTACTTGTTCAACAGCCTCGTTGTTCCTCCTAGACACCCCTCTTTTAATCCGTCTCTAGAGAAGAAAAGGGGATGATCACGTAGTCAAATATATTACTGGTGAGTAGCATATTGCTGAACATTTCTGCACAGATTATTAATTTAACAATTGGTAACTTTTCTGCAGCTGCAGAGATAGTATTGGCCGCTGTACCTGACAAGTCCCATTGACCATGTCTCTTCCAAGTATTTGTCAACTGCTCCCAGCCTCGTCCGTGGTGAAAAGCGAAGTACGCGGATCATATGAACTGGTATCTTCCTCTTCTCTGAGAAGGTTGCAGGAAGCTACAGGAACCATTTAGCCATGACAAAGCCCAATACCAGCAGCCTGTCGAACTTCTTCTGCATAGCTTGTGCAGCTGTTGTCATCCTAGGCAGAACCTGCAGTTGCTTGCAGTTCACTTACCCCAACTTCAACGCAAGCAACAGGGACGATTTCAGCTTCAGCCCTGACTCAGCAATCTCCAACAACTCCCTGCAGATCACGCCGAACGCCGGCAACATGAGCCACCGGTCAGGAAGAGTGGTCTACACAAGGGAAACCCTCAAGCTGTGGAACAGCAAGCGCACGGAGCTCACGTCGTTCAGGACAGAGTTCGTGCTCAACATCCTCCCACAGAATGGGACTGGAGAAGGTATGACCTTCATCCTCACAAATAATCCATCTTTGCCCAGCAACAGCAGCGGCCAGTGGCTGGGTGTGTGCAACAACCAGACAGACGGCGTGAAGACAAACCGATTAGTAGCCGTGGAATTTGACACGAGGAAGAGCTACAAGGATGACCTTGACGGCAACCATGTCGGACTCGACTTAAATAGCATCAAATCTGTTCAGCAACACCCACTCAGTAATCAGTCCATCGCCCTCTCAAGTGGGTCTGATGTATTGGTCGGGATCAAATACGATGGTGCATCACTGCTGTTTCAAGTAACTCTCGTCCAATACAGCACAAGTGGGCAGCATGTTGCCCTATTAAGTCGGTACATTAACCTGTCACTAGTTCTACTGGACGACATATATCTGGTGTTTGCAGGTTCCACAGGCAACTTCACCCAGCTGAACCAGATAAAGTCCTGGAACTTCACCACAATAGACGACGATGCCACAGTTAGAAGAGGGCATTACTGGAGAAGAAAGGTGCTTTTGGCTCTCGTTGCATTGCTTGTGTTCTCTATATGTTTGTTTGCTGGGCTGTTCATGTGGAGAAGGCTGACGTGGCGGAGAAGGCTCGCCTACCGCAACCTGGAGAAGATGATCGACGCACATGGTCCAGTCAAATTTAAGCTCAGGGAACTCAGGCGTGCGACTGCCAACTTCAGTCCTACCCGCAAGCTGGGCCGAGGAGGCTTTGGCACCGTTTACCTTGGATACGTCGATAGGATGAACTTGGAGGTGGCAGTCAAGCGGGTGTCGACGGACAAGCAGGCTGACACCAACCGGGGAGAGAAGGAGTTCGTGGCGGAGGTGAACACGATCAGCAAGCTGTCGCACCGGAACCTCGTGAAGCTGATCGGCTGGTGCCACAAGAAGGGCGAGCTTCTGCTTGTCTACGAGTACTTCCCCATGGGAAGCCTTGACAAGCTCCTTTACGCCAGGGAAAGGACCGCGTCGTCGTCCATGTCGGCGTCGACGGACACACCGGAGCTCACATGGGAGCGGCGGTACAAGATCATCTGCGGCGTGGCATCGGCGCTGGACTACCTGCACCACGGGAGCAGCAAGCGGATCCTCCACAGGGACGTCAAGGCCAGCAACGTGATGCTCGACACCGAGTACAACGCGCGGCTGGGGGACTTCGGCCTCGCCCGCGTCATCCAGCACGACGGTGTCACGCACCACTCCACGCAGGTCGTGGCGGGGACCCGCGGCTACATGGCGTACGAGAGCTTCTTCACAGGCCGTGCCAGCCTCGACACGGACGTGTACGCATTCGGGGTCTTCGTCATGGAGGTGATCAGCGGGAGGAGCCCCAGCAACGCCGTGCAGCACCCGTACATCCACGACAGCGACCACCGTGGTGAGGAGGATTACTCGAGCGGCGGGGGAGCGCGACACCCCTTGCCGATGCACATTGTGGATTGGATATGGAGGCTCTACGGCGAGGGAAAGGCCTTGCATGCCGCCGACCCATTGCTCGGCGGTGAGTTTGAGCAGGCGCAGGTGGACTGTGCGGTGAGGCTGGCGTTGGCGTGCTGCCATCCGAACCCAAGGGAGAGGCCGTCCATGAGGACGGCGGTGCAGGTGTTGATCGATGGTGCCCCGACGCCGGAGCCGCCGTTTAATAAGCCTGCGTTTGTTTGGCCTCCGGGCGGCAATCAGCGGGAGATGGAGCTTCCGGAGGTCGGGTTGCTGTTCACGGGAGGGGCTAGGCAGCACAGCAGTTTCTGCTCCTTGAACTCCACTTCCCTCACGGGGAGGTGAGCTTCGTGGAGAGTTGTACGCTTGCCTTGTACTGCCGAGTGTTGACTACGGTTTGCTTGTGAAATTGTACATTATATGTTCGTCGCTTCTCTCCTCTGGACGAGTTTGTTATTCGAAACGAACTGGGAACAAAGTTTGTAATCTACCCTAATGACAGATAGTTGGTTATACATGGCATTGTCGGCATTTTTCGTCATTACATTGTTGAAGGCATTGCCTTGAACTTGCTCAGACTTTATGTTTAGGGTGAAAACCCACGTTATAGCCTTTGATAGTTGGATCCGGTGATGGTGGCCTTTGAGCATCATTTCTTTTATGAAGGTGTTGCTTTTCGAGAACATTTCTCATAGTCCTTGTGTTGTCGAGAGATAGTTGATGCTCATGGTTGTTGTTTTTCCTTGTTTGTTGTTTTGTTCGCTTGAGAACTAGGTGGTAGCCTAGTGGCAATGGTCACAGTGGTGCACCATGTGCCCAAAGTTTGAATCCCGTCGAAAGCGAATTTCTAGTGCTTCAATCGGGTGGACTTCTTCTATAAAAATATGTCATGGGTGCTAATGCTCATGGATCTCTTCTTTTTGTTCGCTTCATATTTTTTCTTTTTATCCATCCTATGCATATCTTTGGTTTTCTATGACTTTGCTACTTACCAGCAGGATCCTTTGTGTGTGTGCACTAATGTTGATTGTATGCATCTTAACTATGCAGAGTCTGGGTGTGTGTTTATTATGCATGTATCCACTTGATGCTACATTGTGAATCAATAAAAATCGCCCTTTACCAAAAAATAACACACACACTAGAGATAGCGTTTAACAAAAGTAGTTTTTGTTTTTTAAAGGAGGTTAAGCCCCCAGTGAGTGATGGTATCCTGAATTAGGGGGTGCAAACCACGTTGGTTCCCAATGGGCGTGCGCCTGGCCGAGGACCCCCAAAACAATCAGCCAGTGGGTCACTGTCGGTGTCAAAACCGGCTGATCCCGGATAGGGGGCCCAAGCTGTATGTTTGAAGACCGATGGTAACTATGAACAAAGGACACAGTGTTTACCCAGGTTCGGGCCCTCTTAATGGAGGTAAAACCCTACTCCTGCTTGATTATATTCGAAGGGTATAGGGGTTACAAGAGTTGATCTACCACGAGATCGAGTTGGCTAACCCTGGATTAGCTAGCCTAGCAATGTTGTGATCTTGCCTCCGATCTAACCCTTTGGTTTATATAGACACCGAAGGGCTTTAGGATTGTACAAAGTCGGTTTTACATAAAGGAATAACATATCCGGACACCTATACTTGCCATCCACGCATACGAGAGTCCCTACCAGACACGAGAGGTGATCTTCTATCTTGTATCTCGACGGCCCATTAGTCCGGCCCATATCCAATAGATCGGACGCCCGAGGACCCCCTAGTCCAGGACTCCCACAGTACCCACATGTGTTCAGCATGCACATAGTTTTCGGCATTGCAAGGCGGGTTTCATGAATAGTACACATCGGCTTCCCTCCCTAAAAGAATTGTATCTGGTTTTTCATAATGAACTCAACCCGTAGCCGCGAAGGTAGGATATATAAAAAATAAGAACAGTGTCTTTTACTAACAACTTTTTTCGGCGAAGCGTCAGACTTGACCCTTCGACGTTTTAAACCGTTTTCACACCCCGCGTTCCGCGTTTCGAGGCTCTGCCCCATTGGCCCGTCGTGTCGAAACAGAGATCGTGCCCACTTAATATGGGATTGCTCATCAATAGAATTTGGGTAATCCAACCGTTTACGATGCACACTTTCATTGGGAATAGGCGAGCTTCAAGGCGCAAGTGGGGGGACGGTTTGCACTTTTACCGCCTATAAGAGTGCAATATATTTCTCTTTTCCTCCCCACGCCTTCCAGTCTCCTCTGCCTTCCAATATCCCAAGCTCTCAGCGCCAAAAAAGTCTCTGTCTTCACCACCACTACCACCTCCTCCGACCATTCCCGGATACGGTCTCAAAGGCAAGTGGGAGGCCTCCCCCGTCATGGAGAAGGAGATAAAAGATCTCCCGAGTGCAGGATACCTCGCCGCCAACATCGCGCACAGGCTCCCCCTTCCCAAGGGTCAAGTCATTCCCACCCCGGAGCCAGGCGAACGGGTCGTCTTCCTCCCTCATTTCCTTAGAGGGCTAGGTTTTCCACTCCACCCATTCGTCCGTGGACTCATGTTCTACTGCGGGCTAGATTTCCATGATCTAGCCCCGAACTCTTTTCTCCACATCTCGGCGTTCATCGTCGTGTGTGAGGCTCTCCTCCGCATCCACCCACACTTCGGCTTGTGGCTCAAGGTCTTCAATATGAAGCTGAAGGTGGTCGACGAGAAGCACACGGACTGCGGCGGAGCTATGATCAACGAGTTGCCCAACACCACGTGGCCCAAGGGGGCCTTCATGGAGACCGTCAAGATCTGGCAACAGGAGTGGTTCTATATCACCGAGCCGCGCCGCACTAACTGGATGGCAATTCCGGAATTCAGATCTAGACCCCCCCAATGAGGCTCGTCTCCTGGACCGCGAAGGGCCACGACTGGCGGTCCCAGACGGAGGTGCAGACGCTGCAAATGCGTATCACCAACGTTCTGGGGGAAAATGTTGGTCTAACCAACGTGGTTCAAATCATGCTCTTCCTCCGCATCCTCCCCTGCCAGCGCCGGGCTTCCCCCATGTGGGGGTTCAATCCGGAGGAGCCACAGACTCTGCAGCATTTCCTCGGTACTACGCACGAGGGAATGTGGAAGCTGCTCTTCAAGGCACAGAAGAGCTGGCCCATGGAGACCGAAGATGTCGGCCTCAACGCCACGAATCCGGCCACTCCGGTAAGTATTTAACTTCCCGAAGACATACCCAGTTTATATATTCGGTCGATACAAAACTCACCAGCCCATCTTTTGTTTTACAGGGCTAGACCAAGAAGTCGGAGCGGATTAAGAGTCCGGCTCTTTTACCTGAAGAACCAGTCACTCATCAGCTGGAGGAGATGCTGGTCCCGGCGCCTTCTCAGGCGCCGGAGAAAAAGTTCAAGAAGAAGGGCAAGGGGCCCAAGGACGGGCCCTGCCGCAAAGGCCCTCCGGAAGCAGTGTCTGGAGAGAACGAGGTCGTATCCTCTCACGAGGAAGACAAGGACAAAGAGGAGGAGGAGGAGGAGGAAGTGGAGAGCAACTCCCCCCTCAAGACGAGGAGGGGAAAGAGGACAGCCTCCGAGAACCTAGAGGGAGAGACATCGAAGAAGGGGAGGGTGGTCCTCTCGGATAGTTTGGGCTCAGAGTCCGAACACAGCCCGCAGAGGATCCAAATAGAGAAGCCTAAACGTAAGTATCGAAAACTTACTCGTTTAGTTATCTCTTAATCTGCCTCTGTCATATCAAATATTTTTCTGCTTTTCAGCCCTCCGCGCGAGATCCCGATTCCATCCTCTTTGTAGGGGAACTCTCTAGCACCTGGAGAGGCGGAGAGTGACGGACCGTCTCACGCCTTCTCTCCCCCTGCCATGGAGGACACTAAGGTGTCGTCCCAAAGGCCATCTCCTGACCGAGGAGGAGCGAACGAGACCGTCCAGAAGGCGCCTGAGGACAACACCTCGGACGCTGTAGAGCGGGGCATGGCGACCCCCATGACCACCAAGGGTGGGGGGCCTCCACAGTCCGGGCCCTCGCCGAACACCATCTCGGAGACCAGTACGGCTCCGGGTTTGGACCAACACCCTGTTGGAAATATGCCCTAGAGGTAATAATAAAATGGTTATTATTATATTTCCTTGTTCATGATAGTTGTCTATTGTTCATGCTATAATTGTATTGACCGGAAACCGTAATACATGTGTGAATACATAGACCACAACATGTCCCTAGTGATCCTCTAGTTGACTAGCTCGTTGATCAAAAGATGGTCATGGTTTCCTGACCATGGACATTGGATGTCATTGATAACGGGATCACATCATTAGGAGAATGATGTGATGGAGAAGACCCAATCCTAAGCATAGCACAAGATCGTGTAGTTCGTTTGCTAAAGCTTTTCTAATGTCAAGTATCATTTCCTTAGACCATGAGATTGTGCAACTCCCGGATACCATAGGAATGCTTTGGGTGTCCCAATGGCTATAAAGGTATACTATAGGTATCTCCGAAAGTGTCTGTTGGGTTGGCACAAATCGAGACTGGGATTTGTCACTCCGTACGACAGAGAGGTATCTCTGGGCCCACTCGGTAACGCAACATCATAATGAGATCAATGTGACTAAGTAGTTAGTCACGGGATCATGCATTACGCAACGAGTAACGTGACTTGCCAGTAACGATATTGAACGAGGTATTAGGATATCGATGATCAAATGTCGGGCAAGTAACATACCGATTGACAAAGGGAATTGTATACGGGTTTGCTTGAATCCCCGACATCGTGGTTCATCCGATGAGATCATCGTGGAACATGTGGGAGCCAACATGGGTATCTAGATCCCGCTGTTGGTTATTGGCCGGAGAACTGTCTCGGTCATGTCTGCATGATTCCCGAACCCGTAGGGTCTACACACTTAAGGTTCGATGACGCTAGGGTTATAAGGGAAGTTTGTATGTGGTTACCGAATGTTGTTTGGAGTCTCGGATGAGATCCCGGACGTCACGAGGAGTTCCGGAATGGTCCGGAGGTAAATAATAATATATAAGAAGTGAGGTTTTGGCCATCGGAAGTATTTCGGGCGTGACCGGTAATGTACCGGGACCACCGGAAGGGTTCCGGGGGTCCACCGGGAGGGGCCACCAGCCTCGGAGGCTTGCATGGGCCTAGAGTGGGAAGGGACCAGCCCTAGAGTGGGCTGGTGCGCCTCCTACCAAGGCTCAAGGTGCAGCTAGGAGGGGAGAGGGGAAACCCTAGGCGCAGATGGGCCTAAAGGCCCACCCTAGGGCGCGCCCCCTCTCTCCCCCTCTTGGCCGCCCCCTCCATCCCATCAAGGGCTGTCGTACCCCTAGGGGTGGGAA